CTTGCTATTATAATGTACGTTCATACAAATATACTTACGCATTATTTTGCGTATTTTTTCTAAAACTTAAAAATCGATTCTATATGCGACATTCATCTACGACGATATCTCTTTTAATTCTACTATATTGTTATTCGGAAAATGTTTTGAATAAAATAAAATTACAACTTTTTAATTTTTGGCACTAAAACATAAATAGTAAAATTAAATTCCTCACATTTTTAATTTCCCGTAAATATGTATTACTATAATGTTTATCTCTGTAACTATAAAATCTTACACTAATTTTTCAGTATATTACATATAATATCAGCTATATATTCTCACTTTGTATTATCCGTATATATATATGTATATGTTTGCATTAATACACATATATGTATATATATTTAATATACGTATATCTATATAAATCATTGACTTTACACTTCATCACAATATTTTGTTTACGCACCTGCGATCAAAAATATTTGTGTTTCATATTGATCTTAGAAAATATTAATAACGTATTAAAATATTTAAAAAATAGAAATATAGTGTCATGATAAAATAAAATATAAATCATATTTTTATAAAAATTGAATACTAATAATTATATGAAATAAACTTAATTTATATATAAAATTAAAATTTCTGAAAAGTAAAGCGTGTAAGATGCAAATAAAAAATAATAAAAAAATGTTAAATACACGCGTTATAATTGGCAGTTACTGTCCTTTAACTCAACACAAAAAAATATAATTAAAAAAATTACAACTCACTTATATCTAATCAAATCCAACAGAGATGATTATAAGGATATCATAATAATATATAAATAATTGTTAATAATTAATATTATAATAATTACAGAATAAATATATGATTATAAAAATAATATACTGCCACTTTTGATTGTCTTTATCTTATCTTTCTTCGAATATATATGAAAATAATGTATAATATACGTATGCAGGATATATTCCGTAAAAATATTTTATAACGCAAATAAAACATATAGAAATATATATTAGCTTTTTCTCACGTACTGCACCGAATAATAAATGATCTCCGATTATGCAGTACACCTGTATCTCTTACAATATTATACAATACAGTATAATAGTATAGTAATATATTATGAGAACAATTTTAATAGACTATACATCCCCAAATTACAATTAAATATTTTCTAATTATTTACCTAATCACTTTCGTATCCTAAATTTACAAGTAATTCTTTATCTTATTCCTTAATAAATAATTTATTGTCCATCATGGAACATTTCCTAATTCTATTTATTGTCTGCTCACACAGTATTGTCGGTTATTTAAATATATATTATCCATTTTTACAACTAAACTGTTGTCTGGATACTAAGGAAGACCATTATTGTCCAATGTTCTTTTTTCTTATTGTCTGTAAGTTCTTGTCTTAGAAAATCATTCTGAGATGTTTCAAGTACCACAATGCTTTTTTAAATAATTAGATAAGCTTTTTTTAAATAATGAATTTGCAAAAGATAAATTTACTATTGAGGTGAAAGTTTTCTTTTTAACTAAAGTAAATAACTATTTTATTAAAATGCAACAAAAAATTTGTTACTTTCTTCCTATTCTTAAATGACAAAAAAGAATTTTAAAACAGCTTAAATTATTTAAATTTAGAAAGTTTGATGAAATTTAAAAGTTGAATCTTTGAGCTTTAAAATGCTTTTTTTTTTAAACTTGCTCTACTTTTTTTTGTCTATCTCTATTTAAAGTGGCTCTTTAATCTGTTGTAGAACATATTTAACGAAAAATTAAATTTTGCATTCCAAGAGTAATAAGCGATTAAACAAATAAATATAGTTCATAGATAAATTAAGCTAAATACTAATTATCATCTCGGCCAACAATACTGCTATTCGTCTCGCCGCTTAGAAAAAGTCTAAGTCAGTTAGAGAGTAAGGCTCCTATAGAGATTCCGTAAACGATACATATCTTGTACAAAGTATACTCATTGAAAAACGATTTCCCTAGAGTGTGCAGATCAAAAAGGTGCTGGTGCAGATATTGTCCCTAGAATTCAGTCAACATGTTTCGTACGTCTATATCGAATACAGGCCCTACGTACAGTGGCGAGCCTCTAGACGCTCAACTTGATTTGAAATTCTCTCACTCGTCTATAATATGCCTATTGCGCCTGATGAAAACTCCGCCACCGTCTACGAACACTAATCTACAAGCTTCTATGTTTCAAATTGTGACATTACGTATAACAACTTAAGTACTAATTATTTAATGCTCGATACGCACAAACGTATCGAATACTTCGTATTGAATTAGAAATATGGCAGGCTGAGCAACGCTGTCGAATGTGCACCGTTAAATTCTTTTACTTACAATTATTTCTTTTATATTCAAAAGATATCTATGATATAATCAATTAAAAATATGGTATTTCAATACTATATATAAAGCAAGTATATAAAACAAATTTAGTGTATGTTGTTTAAAATTTTCATCAATTTCACAAATATATATATACAGAGAGTTTCATACCATGCATTTTTTTCACGTATATAAAAAATGTCTTTTATATGTATGCTAATAATGAATCAAAAATATTCAACATTCTCAACAAATATTGAAACTCATGATCGTGATAAACGTAAGAAATGTTTATTCCGTTGTTTCGTTTGCTCAGCCTAACATTAGAGAGTTCTGGCATACCGTACCTTTCGATACGATAAACGCAAGTCCGAAATAAACGAAATTACGTGAGCGTAAATAAGCATTTAGACTGCAACGCTATTCCTCACAGAATATAATAGCGTTTACAGTAAGATACGTGCTGATATATTACTTCGTCATGGCAGTTCCTCCATCTCTGATTCGTATATTACGTTAACACACTTCGAAATTTCCATCTCGTATGTTTACACGCGTAAATACAGATTATGGTATTGAATTACGCGATCCGTTTTTAGCGTTTATCGTGTCTAACGAAGGGCACGGTATGCAAGATAACATCTCCGTCTACATTTACATATGCGACTGTAGTTTTAGGTGCCTGACACGTGTTTCCGATAAACACGATTATTATACAGATATAACTGACTAAACATATGTTGCAATGCATCATTTTTTTTACATCGATAAGCACATAGACGGTTCTTGTCATAGGATATATTGTCGTATGCTATAATATTTCATTTAAAATATTTATCTCCGACGGTATACACTGATTGCATTTCATGCAATAATCGTGTACGATATTTTTACAGCGGGTGTGCGCTTAATTCGTTCCTTTACAAAAATACAGTTTGTCGATTATATATATTACGCATGTATGTTTTTTTCTTTACCTTAACAGTACTTGTTAAATTAACTTTTGATAAGATTAAGATATCTCTGTGTATGTGTATCACAAACTTTTGAGAAAAACCTTTTTAATTTGTTTCTTTACACAAGAATATAATTGATGTATCAATGAAAAAAAATGAGCTATTTCGAAATAATATTTACAATTCTTTTCTATATATACGAGAGGATTGTTCATAAATCACAGATCTTCTCTGTGATTGCCATACGAAAATATAAGTTGCTAGAAATAAAACGACGATGTAAACCGAATTTATTTCCGCATTTCAGGAAATAAGAGAATTTTATAATATTTAATTTTAATTGTATTTAATGATAAATTCAGCTACTTATTATACTTTTCCATGTGATTGTGAAGAAAAAATTAAAAAATTTTGTTTATAAAATATGCCTTGCATGAATCCTAAAATGTATAATCTATTATTACTTACATCGCTTATTCCTTTCTCAAAAATGATTCATATCAATACCATTAAACATTAATTATCAATGAATACCGTTAAACGCACACCCTTTAAATCAAGAATTTTGACCACTTGGTGGCTCATATACAGCTGTCCTAAAATCGGCAGCAATACAAAATATTTTTTGTCGCATCATATGCGATGATTTTCGTTTTTGTGCACAAAGCCTCAAGTTTTTTTTGTTTTCTTATTTCAATACCAAAAGTACACACATCGGCATGTTGATCCTCTCTTTTGTCTAGTAACTTCCTAGAAAATGGCTTGTTTTATTTGAACTTATGTATGTAAACGTCCACAGTAGGCCTATTCTCTAACTTTGCAACGACGTTGTCACGATAGCGAATTTGTTGTTAAAAGTTATAGAATAGGAGTACTGCGTCCGTATGCATTTAAATAAAATAAGTGTATCCTATATGTTTCCGATTATCTGATTCTCCTTGTTCGAGTGGCTTATCATATAATTCTTCTTACGAAAAGTCGCGAAGGGATGAAATTTTATGTTTAGTCGGACGAGCTATGACTAAGAGAATTGCGAAATATCCAATATTCGGGCATGTTAATAATAATTCACGATATTAGAAGAACTTTTCCTGCCACGGTTACCCGTTGACTAAAGTGAATTAATCTTACTGTTATCACTCGAGAAAAGATTGATCGCATCGCGTCGGTATTTATCATCCAAAACTTAGTAAACATTGCTAGCTCTCATCGGTGATTCTTATCAGCTCCTGTCATCCGTGATTATTCAATTGACGAGACTAATGATCTTTGTTTAATATTCGGCTCTCTTCTCTTCTCAGATATGTAGAAAATACTATCTTCTGTGAATGATGTTTAAGACAATACAGACCATACACATATTTACTTTCGATTCCCTCTACGTCAGGCGAAAGTCTGCATCCTTCTTTTTGCTTCTATTTTAGTTATTTCAATATTGTCAACAATTTTATCCAAACGTTTTGTTGAATATCTCGATCGATTACGCTTTTCCGTTGCTCTAATCATTCTTGGAATGTTTAGACATTTCTTCTTTGATCCACGGTACGTATTTGGGCACGTAAGCGTAGACCCCGGGCAGTTTTGGGTGGGCGCATTTTATGCCCCAGCTGACGATTCCGCCGACAAACCATCTCTGCTTGTCGTGCTTATCCTGACACAACAGAGGCCCTCCGGAATCGCCCTTGAAGTAATTTGCAATTTCGCGTTATTTTTTATTTGCAAAAATGATAATGGAAAATAACGTAACGTATTTTTGTTTGAATACACTAAAGTTGTTCCATGACTAAAACATTGTACGAGAAACTATCCGCATTCTACAGGATCGGGATAATATAATTAAATAGTTTAACAATATTTCGCAATCCTCATTTAGGAGATAGCGAGAAAGAGAGATATCTTGATAATTAATATTAAGTAATTAAACTCTAGCAATAACACTGCGGTTTTAAGACGTATTGGAAAACAATTCTCGATTTTTTTTTAATATGGATAATATTTTTTGTCATAATCTATGCGGAGAAGACACTTATGTAAGACGAAGCTAATTTAAAAAATTTACCTGACATGCGTCCTTTCCTCCGTCCGGATAGCCAGCGCAAATCATTCCGTCGGTGACGTTCAATTCTTTATGCGCTAACCACATGTTGCAAATTTGTCGATTTAGAACAGGAACTTCGACCTCGTTTACGGCCGGCTCATATTCAGACGCTAAGGTAAAGCAATGAAATAACAATCGATTTCAATTTTTGAAAAAAGAGAAAAATCATATTAATACTCTATGTATAATTAATTAAATTAGTATAATTAATTAAAAAGTTCAAAGCAAGAATGTGGACTGAAAAGTTTATTTTAGAGACGATATCTTACATTTAAAGCGATTTCAATTCAAAACTATAGATTTCATTTATCTCTCGCTTTTGCTCTAAAAGTTTCTACTGTAAACGAATAGGAGAAAAGCGCAGTCTCTAGTAAATCTCTATTGATATACATTTTTATTTTGATTTCATTAATTTTCGGCGATCTTCCCCTAATAATACTTACAATCGGTATCGTTTTTCTTGCCCCAGCCGATGACAGTACAAAGTGTACCGGGTGTAAGATTAGTGGCAGCAGTTGGTAAACACACGGGCTTTAGATGATCGTTGTATTGAACTGGTCTTTCCAGCTACGACACAGAGTATATTGCATGAAAAGATATCAAAGTTAAAAAAATAACATTTGAATTTGAATAAGAATTAATAATTTTATATGTGATAGATATAGGTATATATATCAAATATAAAAGCTTAAATATTTTGCATATTGTTGGTCCAAAATACTTAATAAAATGTGTATTTACTTGGAACAACGCGATATCGTTGTCGTGAGCGGCACCCAAGTTGTAATTCGGATGGGAAATCACACGTTTCACTTTTAATGTTTGGCCCATAAAAGAGTGAGAGAGTCTTCTAGTAATACCGAGCTGTATCGTCCAACCAGATACCTCCGAATGACTAAAACTGTTCATGTAAGAGAGAATCACTTCGTTTTTTTTTTTAGATTTTTTTGTTAATTATTATTAACATGTGATAAAAAAATTTGCAGCTCAAGATTTCGAGTTATATTCTTCTCGCATAAACGTTAATTGGTTTAATCATAAATTATATATATATATA